GAATATGTGTCCGCGAAGGGCGCGCGGAAGCTGGGGCGAAAGTTCCGCTAAAGAAAATCATATTTTTTGTGAAGAAGGTCACTCGGGGATAGATTAATTTAGATCAACGCCCATGTATTCCAAAGCCACCTCGGCAGGTCTTGCGGGCCAATGGCTGGAATCTGAGCGAGGCGTGCGCTGTAGCGCCTTTCAATTTACGAGAGTGGAGGGTTAAGGCTCCATAGAGCTTCTCGTTTACCGCGATATGATCAACATTGATCAACCTTCACAGTAGAAGACACTGTGTTTAATTAACTGTCTTGTATTGTTGTTCAGGGAGGTGGGAGGGAGTCTCTGCAACGAATGCCCTGGTCACCTCCTTGCCGCAAGCTACCTCGAGTCGGATCCGCACGTGTTTAGAGCAGACGGATCAACTTTCGAAGTTCTTCTACTGCTTGTCATTGCCTGCAGCAGGCACTGAACCTCCTGGTGGGCGAGGGAGCAGTGCCGCACCGCAGATGCGAGGGTGGTGGGGGGGGCTTTGAGGGTTGAGGAGCTCGCAATGATAATTGCTACGTCGTGCTTAATGGTTGGGGGACCCTTCGCCAGGGGACCCTTCGCCAGCTTGCCTGCACTCCCAACTCCCAGGCGCCTGAGCCGCAGCGTGCGCCTGTGCGGCCGCTGCATGCTCCATTTGCAGCGCCGGCAGTGGCAACGGCACATGTACCTGTACCTGCAGCAGCAGCACCAACTGGAACCTTTGCCACAGGCTTCTTCGGTGGAGGCCACGAAGACAGGAGTTTAATGCATCTGAAAAACTAGGACGTGTCGCAGAACCCAAGACTTCATTGCACCACTCTCAAGTGCAGGCTGTTGGTTTCGCATTCAGATCGTCCCAGGGTTAACTGTTATCTCCAACAGCAACCATCATCCATAGCAAAGTCAGAGTTCTTACTGCAAGCTCACAAGTGGTGCTGCTCCTGTGTTTGTTGCAGGCCGTCCCGATGATGATGTGCGCGCGCCAATGCGAACGGGTTTCCATGACCGGCCATGCCATGAGTTTGTGGTAGCCGTGATTTCCCTGCTTCCCCATCATCGCCAAGATATCTTCTTGACGAACTGAAAGGCAGCAACCCGTTATGCATCCTTTTTTCCCTGAGTAGTTGTAGAGTGTTCGTTTGACAGTATTCGATCCCACAATTCTTTGGACAAGATTTAGGCTCTTCTAGTTCTTTGTTTATTGAGTGCTATGCTGACCCGTTGGACCCTACCCCTACAGCCCTTTTGGGGCAGCATGCCGACTGCGGGGATTGGATAAAGCAGGAAACGCTCCTCACTGCTGACCCGGCCCAGCAGAGGCGCCAGGCAAGCTGACAGCCATTGAATTGGCTCTGGGGAACTGGGCGAACTTCGAGGAACACGAAGAACTCAATCGGCCTCAGCAGCTCGAGAGGGATAGGAACACGTCAGTCAATCAGCCAAGCCGAAGCGGAGACAAATGCAGCGCATCCAACACTTCCGAACAGGGAGCAGGCAAGAATCCCGCAAAGTCCTCTCGAAGCTTCCCGAAGCTGGAACACCTTCAGATTTTTGCATGTAGAACAGAGATAAGTCGTCTTTGATGTTCTTGGCCTTCGCCAATTGTTCATCCTCCTCCCTTAGAATCTGCAAATGCCATAAACTTGAAACACCTCGCCGAGTGGACAGGATGAAGAGAGGGAGGCCGATCTTCGGAAACGAGAGGCCAGCCCAGACATTGCGTCCTGTTTAGGCAAGGGCCCTGCAGGTGTTCTTGGAACCTGCATGGGGTCTGTGGACTTTGAATACGGGTCAAGGGTTCTGCGGATGCTTGCACAGGCTGTGTGGTTGAGGCGCAGATTCCTGTGGTGTTCCCTTGAACTGCCTCGACTTCAAAGCCGTGATGAGTGCAGAGGCCGAAAGGATCGCTGCCGAGGAGCGCAAGCGGCAGCAGGAGGAGGAGACTTACAACAAGGCGGTGCTTTGGAGATTGGTGCCTGTCCTAATTCTGACATTTCTGACCTGGTACGCAATTTCCTGACTCAGTCTTCAACTCCCAGAAGTCAGAAGGAGGGGCTGACGGAATTTGGGTCGGCCCGTGTCTTTCAAGACCTAAAGTACTTGCTACAGTCGCAACGGAAACTCGTCTTGTCTTGTAAGCCACGGTGTCACCTGCGATGCTTGACCATGGGCTTGCTTCTCGCCTTGCTTCGTTCGTGATCCTTCTTCAATCGAGGGGCGCCAGGGCAGATGGAACGACGTCATCGACAACGACTTCGACCACCACGTTTTCCGTGGATTCCAGCGTGGCGGCCATGCTTCGCGTGTACAGCTCAGACAACTGCGAAGGCGACCCACACACGGAGATCGACCTTAGAACGACCAGCGAGAACCACTGTCGGGGCTGCCTAGACCGCTGCTCGTCGGAAAGTGCTGGCTTTCGCTCCATGAGGCTTGAGGGCGGTTCCAGCGATGCAGCTGCAGTGGCATGGAACTGCATTGGCGGTATCGACACCTACGATTCTGCTGGATTCGCGCGGGGAGGGTTGGTACAAGCAAATGCAGGATGTCACTTCTCCGGAGGCGGGGGAGCTGTGGTGCTGTGCTCAGGCAACTTGGCAAATGGCAACCACCTACAAGAGCTGTCGGCTACTTGCGGGGCCCTTTACGCAGCAAGTATCTCGGCAGGCGACGCAGCAAGTATCTCGGCAGGCGCACTCATCTTCAGATCATGCTGGCTCCCCATGCTGGTCGCGACAGCAAGGCTGCTGTGAAAGACAAAGAACTCTGCGCTCTTGAAGACCAAGAGCACAGGATCATTCCAGCAGCGCTGAGGTCGCCAATGTGCGCAGCAGAAAGGCAAAAGAGGGCGGGTTCAGGACTAATGGCACTAAGTACCACACAGCCAGAAATTCGCGGAGACGTGCCCAAAACGGACCCAAAGAAGGCGCAGCTCTCTCCGCTCTTCTCAGGGCCTGGCCCGCCTCGCGGAGGAGCAGCGCTCCACTGCAGAGAAGCAGGCCGGTGGCCTCGCCCTCCCGCGCCCCCGGAACTTTTCCAGCCTTGTCGTAAAGAGAGCGATCCAGATAGACAATGATGATGACGTTCCACCCGGGTCGGATTAGAAAGCCGAGGCTGCAAGCCTGGGGTTCCCTCTCAGACGCTGGTAGCGTCAACCCGCCATCAATCCGAGACTCTAGAGTCCCAGTGCCCCAAACATAATGGAAATTAGTTAGAGTAAGTCTACTACAAGAATGAGAGCAGTGCACAAGGAGTTTCATTGTTTCTTTCAGAGGATCCGAGCATCGCGCACTGCCAGCAGGCCTTGGAAAGGAAGAAGCAGAAGATGGAGGAGGAGCAGGCTTAACTCCCGGAGCGGAAGACGGCCGCAACGCATAAACATGCTGAGCCGCGGAAGTTACGAACAGGCTTAAGTCTATGTTGGTGTGGATTGAATGCGAGTTCCCTTGTTTGGGTCCTTTTGAATCGGGAGTTGGTTGGGCAAGGACCATCGACTGATCGTGTTGGTATTTGCACCCGCGCAAGCCTCCTCGTTTACTCCAGCACCGTGGCAATGTGAAGGCTTACAGCCAAGATTTCCGACACGCACTCAACGACATGATGCAGCGGACTTACGGCGACGAGCGTTATCCCAGGTCCCCGCAACACCCGAAACATCACCCGAAGTGCTTCAGGGACCCTGAACACGCCCATCCCGGGCGGCAACGACAGGCCAAAGCCCGTCAAAGACGGATGAACAAGCAAAGGCTCTGCGGGCACAGGGATGAGAAGATGGCAGCTTTGAGCTGCGTTAGTGTGTATCGCTTTCGGTGGCAGCATGTTCAAGCTACCGTTTTTCTGTAGGCCCTAGGTTTAGGGCGCTGCGATTCTTTTCCTGTCTCTGTGGGGAAGGCGATGAGAACAGCAGGTTAACAGAGAGCTTCTTGAACGGGGCCTTTGATCTGCTCCGTCCCACCGTCACTATCTTACTTTGCATCTTCTTCCGGTGACTGCCGGGGCTGCAGGCCATTAATAATTAAACTTCGGAGGTTTTGTCTTGGAGAACGTATCATTGTCGGCCGTCGCCGTCGTCGTCGTCGTCGCCGTGGTCTCTCCCTTCGTCGCTTCTAAGTGCCATCTCGCATATCCTTTTGGCGGAAAGCCATGCGTGGCCTCTCAGGGAAGACAGCGAGGAGGAAGAGGAAGACTTTTGCGTCGCCCCGCCCATGGGGCCGGGACTCCTGAGTGAGTTAGGAGCCTTCAGAAGACTTCACATGTAAACGGTTGAAAGATGTTGTCGGCCTTTGTGAAGTGTGCATTATTCCGGGCACAGACTACCAGCTAGTCGTGTCTGGTCGCTCGGACGACAGGGCACAGCAATACTCTGATTGAAAAACCGAGGAAGGGCAGCAAGGACGAGCCATTGGCTAGTAGAAGACGCAGCATGTGGCAGAGGCAGACTCAGCAGTGTGAGGTTAGCTGACCTCTCTGCGCAGCTGGCCGGCGTGGAGGTGCCGGTGCTGCGGGGCTGCAGGGGCCATGCAGGGCTTTCGGCTAGAGCCCGGCAGGTTTGATTTAGTTTTCACTGCGTGAACTTTCTGCGTGAACTCACTTGTACGATCCCTTGCTTGACCTGTCACACTGCGTTGCCGCTTCGAAACAAAATGTTTGGAGATTGGGATGCGGTCCAAAGCTTGCGGCTCTTGCTACTTAGCAGAAAGCATCGCAATGTTCTTTAGAGGCTTCTTCTGACTCGGACGTTTGACAGCCCATTGCTTTTGCCTGGATAGGGAACCTTCCGCGCTCGCACAAAACCAAAAGCCGGACAGGACGTCTTTGGGCACTTAAACGAGAAGACCTTCTGTAATGACAACAGTGGCACAAACAAGCTGCAGCGCAGAAGATTCCGGCTATCGTTGTCTTCGACCTTGGCGCCCTGAATGCATAGGATGCGCAGGCTGGGCAACCCCTCATTTTTCTGCAGTGAAGCCAGGCCGCCCCTGCCCCCACACCGCCTGCGGCAGCCGCAGCGCCTGCGGCGCCTGCACCGCGACCGGCGCCGAAGCCCTGGACTCACGAGAGAAGGCTCCAAGGCTTCCAGGCTTTGTGGGCTTTACGATCACCGGACCATGCCCTGCCCCCGAGTGATGCAAATTAATATGCAGTGAATCGATGGTGCGGAAAGGTTCAAGGAGTCGCGAAAAAATCAATTGAGCCAAATTAGACACGTCTGCCAGCACTAACCACAATGTAACGAGCACAAGCATCAGCCATGCAGCCCGGGTGTCCATAAATGAGCAATGTCCGAGACAGCATTAGCCTTCTTCGGATGACGAGTGTTAAGGACGTTGCTTAAGGCTGAAGGTCAGGAGAGACTTATCAAGTTCTGACAGAACTTCCATCAACAAGACGGAGCATTGAGCTTCCACGCATGCCTGAAAGCCTTTGTACACAGAGCCGACGTGCCTAAACACTTTGCAGTTGCGTAAACCAGGAACAGGTCTAGCTGCAGCGGCAAGAACAGCTGTTTCAATCTTGTATGTGTTCATTCACACATTTACTATAACTAACAGGCCTACTCGGTCGCGTGACGACGACGATGACGAGGAGTTCGAAGACATTCCCGTGGCTCCTGCTGTGCCGTGCCTCAGCTCACATGAAACAACTCAAGCACGACAGGCAACCATAATTAGTTGCTTACATCCTGATAGATTCCAAGGGGCTTACCTCTTCCTGGGTTGCCCAGGTGCCCTCAAACAGAGCTCTTACGATCTTACTCAGCCCGACCAGTTCCCTGCACTCGTACCAGCAGGCAGCGTCCATTGACATCTTCAAACACTGAGTAAGCCTGAACCCGTTTTGCTTTAGTCCCAGCCAGACATCCAAGAAAATCTCAAAGCTCCAAAGGACTCCAAAGCCTAGCCGCATAGCCTTTGGCAGCGGAAGGTTGTGCGATCTGGCTGCGCAAGTGGGCACCAGCGTGCAGGCCCTAACTCTGAGCATGTCTTCGGAGCACAAGGGCTGTTGACTTTCGAGGAAGAGCCTCCGCGTTTGCTACATCACCAACGAGACGGGGTTTGACTCCAGTTTGCCCAGCCGCTATCTGCTACCATGCCGCCATTCTACGGGTCCTGTTCCCTTATCCGGTTTATAAGGACGTCTTGCCCCTAAATCGACCGGCCAAGGATTCGACGCGAATAGGTTCACTCAGCGCTTCTCACTGTGGGCTTGGCTTGTTCGGAGGGTGGGTTTCTTCGGTATGCAACTGCGGCTGTCGTAGTCGCAACAACCCATTGCAGAGGTGCCGGGTTTGAGCAGTGACTTTGCATCCTCGGGTGCACCATGGGCGACATCGTACGACTTGCAACGTGCATTTTTTGCCCGAGGCCAACTTTGACCTGAGAGACTAGAATGGCCATCGTTAGATTTCCCGAGATCCTCTGATTCCGAAAGCCAGACACCGAAACCAGAACCGCTCTGCCACAGATGCAGCCTGAGCCCGCGAGCCGGCCTGAGCTGTTCAATCAGCAAGCAGAGACTCCTGCTTATCCTGCTGTAGTCTGCATGCAGATTCAGGAGAAGGTGTGATGAGAGTGTTTCCTTGCGTCGAGAATCTCGCCCATCAGCCCCAGTCCCGAGAACTCCAACTTGAATGGCCCTAAGAAGGCAGCACAGTAGAGCAGGCCTAGGGATTCTCGTTGTGATATGTATGCATGCATGTATGTAACAGTATCTATCTGTGTAACCAATATTTATGTGCTTGTAGATGCACGCATACATACCATTCCCGTGCTTCTGACTGTTCCCGCCAGAAAGGCCTGCAGTTCCACCGGTGGCAGTGCCTCCGGCGGTGGAAGAGCCACCAGCACCTTCTGCAACGCCGTGCCGCCAGAAATTCGGGGCAACGGGATCGTGTTGGGATTCACATAAACCCGAAACTGTGCCAGTTGGGTTTGCAGCGTTCGAGTTTAGCTTTCAGTAATCTCGGAGTCTTTTTCCTTAACGCGGGCTGAGGGTTGCAGCTGCACGATTTAAAAATGCGGTTCTTCTGGCCAGGCCCCCGGCGGAAGCAAGTCCCAGAGTTGCCGCAGACGGCAAGGCAGACGGCCTGCTGTGGGATCGCACATAGTAATGTAGTACTGATGTAAATGTAGCGCTGATGTAAAAGAGCTTTGAGATTTGGTAGTCAGGCAGCAGCTTGTCAGTTTGACTTCGGTCCTGCACAACTGCACAGTATGTATGATGCCTTAGCTGCAACCCCGTGGTCACCCCCCTAAATCGCGAAGCTGTTTCGTGACTCAGACTTGTCGTTGGCAAGCTTGTGTTTGGCCGGCTCGGTGCAGGCCGCCGACCCCGTCGTCCAAGCACTGAAAGAGCTCCGGAAACGCTACCGCGAGGCACCCCTGTAAACGAAGTGTTAGTGTCTGGTTGACTGGCTGTGCGGCAGACATCGGACCCACGAACAGCCCATCTTGAGATCTCCGTGAAGACGCCGGGTTGGACCGTGGTTGAACAAGAGAACCGCAAGAAGTCTCAAGAAGGGTGGCTTGAGCTCATCTTCCGCTTGTTGTGCTAGGCAGACCCCGCAGCGTTGGCTGCTGGACTGAGGCCTTTGCCGGATATTTCCGGATTCTAGTAATTATCTGGAAGGATGAGGGCTACTGACGATCACTCGGCTTGCAGGTCTACCTCTTCTAGTCGAAAGGTTTCCCGAAATCGTGTACTTTTCTTATGATGCGTTTCTTCAACACTGCTGTTTGAAAACGCAGCAAGAGCAATACGCAGATTTCCAGAGCTCATCTGGGGAATGACAAGGCACGCAGCTGGACCCAAGCGGGTGTATGAGGTTCTGCATGTAGGACGTAGGAAGGCATCCGACAAGGATTCGTCACCTGCTCCATGGTGTCAGTCCTTAACGTCCGTCGCTGTGTCGCCCAACTGCAGGATTGTAAGTGGCTGCGTTGGCCACTTGGTGACTGACCCACAGGCGCCAAAGACTTCTTGGTAGCTGTTGTGATAAGGGAGCTCCCGAAGTCGCAGGGCTTTCGTCCTCGATGTTCGGGCACGCATGGCTTGAATATGAAGTGCTTGAAGAAGTGGAGAAGTGCTGCAGCGAAGAGCTAGCAAACTATGCATCTGACTGAGCGAATAGACGACCCTGTGCTCGCTGCCAGGAACCCAAATACCATCGCATCAACTGCGCCGCTGGGAGGTTTAGGTGCGGTCCGCTTGGCATTGTCAAGACATGGCTTTGGCTGGGTGGCACTTTCTTGTAGAGCCAAATCATGCCGGCATGTGTCAAAAGTCCCTGCATTCCCTACTGTAGGCCATAGCAACTGGCATGGATAATTTGTATTGCAAGTGAGCCACACATGCTGGCCGGTTGAGGACCAGCGTCGAAAGCTTGGAAGGAGCAGTGGCTGTTCTGGAGGCGCCGACTGACCTTCTGGATTAGGAATGAGCCCCGCGTCATCCAATTGCATGAAGCTGGAGGACCCTGCGAGAGCGGAATGACTTGCTGCATACACGTCTATAAGAGCGCCTTTTGGTCCGAAAGCTCACAGGCTGCTGGTTTCCGACGAGAAGGGACCAGCCTTGTCGTCGAGGAGGACTTTCCAAGGCCGGCCCTGGCCTCTGAAGGCTTTCCAACTTGGCTCCGGTCTTTGCCGGCAGCCGCGGGCTTCTCAGGACGCATGGACTGCAGCTCCGAGATGCAAAGGCCAGAATCGACGACATCCTGGCCTGTTACCTGCCGAGAGTCCTGAAGTCTCGAAATTGAGAGGGATGCTCTGCTGTGCTCTGGGGATGAGATTGCAAGCCGCTCCGTAATGCCAGGTTGTCCTGGGAGAGCTAGAGGCAGCAGGCCACTGAGATGTCCCGTGACGAAACCCGTCGCGGGCGTTCCAAGGGTTCGTGGTGGCACCCGGCAATTCAAACGTCCTGGGCATGCCTCCGTCACACGTTCAGACGCGTGGAGAAAGAGGCTGACTGAGACCGAGAGTGGATGATGCTTGTCAATACTGTGCCCTGGCTTTGCCCATCTTAGCTCCTGCAGATCACCTCTTTGCTTGCCAGGCTCACAGGGCCCCAGAAAAGGACTCGCCATGGCGCTGAAACGCCTTGGCTGCGCGCTCCTGGCACTGGGCACAGCGGAGGTCGGCTGTGGCCGAAAGCCTGAAAAGCGTTAACTTCGGAAAATGAGCAATGCTCAGAGCTGTGAGGGGAGAGCTGCGAGTTCTTGAATCTTGTTTTGTCGGGTAGGCTCCCGCCAATGCTTTGTTTGTCATCGAGAAGACTTCTCCGGCATGTGTATAAAGGATGTTGCAAGGACTTGGATTTTGCTTGTTGAGCTACCTGGTGTTAAATAGAAAACACAGTCTGTCGCCTTTGTCCGAGGCATTCCTCGCCCCCAATGCCCTGCGCGCCCCGCCCGCTTCGACCCCTGCCCGGTCCGCAGCCGCACCGCTGAGGGCGCAGGGAGCCAATGGGTGCCTGGCTTGAAAGATTGTTGCAAGCATGGTTGCAATCTACCGCACACACAATTCTGCAAATAGGGTTAACATAAACCATTTAAACTTGTGTACCCCCAATAAAAATATAACACACGCATAAAAGCATCTCAGAATATGCATACACGCTCGTACGTACGTATACGTGTTCTTACATACACGTACATGAAATGTACAACATGTCTATGCGCATGCCTAGGCGTATGCACGTGTATGTGTATATTTTTGGTATGCGTACGTATATTATACATATGTTTGCGCACGCGCATCAGCAGTTGTGTGTGTGTGTGCGTGTGTTTGTGTTTGTGTCCGTTTATGTGCATTTGTTCAGTGTATGTATCTGTGTCTATCTGTCCGTCTGTCTGGCTATCCGTCCGTCCGTGCGTCCGTGTGTCCGTCCGTCCATCGGTCTGTCTGTCTGCTTGCCTGTCTGCCCTCTGTATGTACGTCTTGTATGTAATGCATAATGTATGTACATGTGTTTAAAAGTTTTATGCACCGTATGTACACACACACACATATATATATATACATATGTATGTGTACATACATATACATATACATATACATATACATATACATATACATATACATATACATATACATATACATATACATATACATATACATATACATGTCCGTGACACGTATGTATGTATGTGTCTCCTAATTATCGGCTAGGTAGGTCTGGAATTGGGGGATCAGTTTTGCGATCGTAAGAACTGCCCTGAGGCCATTTATCCGTGGCCATTTTGGCACGAGCCGATCGGCCGTGCCCAAAAGAACCCACCCACTCCGCCCTTTTCTGTTCTT